GCAGGCGTCCCCTTATCTCACAAGCGTCCTCCACCAAGCTCTGGTACCGACCGGAGCGGAAGCCGTCTATCGAGGAGGGAACGTCTTCAGCAAACTGCTGGATGATGACCTTGCTGTCAAATTCGGCTTACACGATGAGCTACGGATCAACTTGTACTTCTACAGAGGTATGGCCGCTTATCAAGTCTTTCCTGTTCAGCCACAGTGACAGCTCATCAGCAAAGTTGTGGATAGCTGCCTTCAAAGACCCCAAACAGAAGGTGCTCGGCTGGATTACTAAAGGAAGGTGCGTGATCATAGCCAAAACTTGCGACGAGGTCAACCCGTCGAAAATATCGTGTGGAGCCCTACACAAAACGTCTCAACCCTGGGGCAACAAAACCTAAATCGTCGGGTAAACCCGCGTCCCTGTTCCCCTAAGAGCACTGCCCGAAGCTCTTCCTCCACTGCTCCCTGACCTCTGCGAGCCCAAAAACTGTGAGCACATGTCGGTTGGTACAGTACACATCCACTTGGCTCACAAGCAATCTGTACGATTCGTAGGTGCGCTGTTGCATGTTGGGCGCCGGCAGGGCAGGTTCAGGTCCGCCAGAGTGCCCAACCTAAGCGGCTTCCACAAGCATAAACACAAATCACTTTCGTGAGGGTTGTCGCGCTGCAACAGTCATGGTACCAAACAGAACAATATCGACAATTGACAAGTCTGTAGCCTGACTCAGTGGGCAATGCATGCAACGCCCAAATTCAAGTCCAGCCCGAGGGTAAAGGGGCTTGTAAAGGTGAAATGACAGCCAGTCCAACATCGCCCCACTGTGCCAGCATGCGGTGTTGGCTGCTCTGAACTGCACTCCAATTTCGGCATCCATCTTGTGGCTAATCCTGCTCCAACCGCAGCATTGAATAACACAGCCTAGATGCCTGCGATGCATCCACCCACTGATGCGTGACCCACCAAGTTTTCTACCAAGTGCTCACACCACCACCACTATGGCTGCACTGAAGAACAGCAAAAACACAACTCACATGAAGTAGTAGTCCCCCTCGTGCTCTGCCATGACGCTTGTAGCACCACACCGGCTCACTGCTGTTGGGTAGCGACGGCGACGGCGACTACTGAATTCTGATTGTGCCGACGGTGGCTTGGGTTTTGGCGTTCCAGGAGTTCCACGTCTTTGAGGTTTAGGTAGGGGGAACCGCTTGCTGGAAAGCTGCTGCTGCGGGCCCAGTGAAGCCAACTTCTTGGAGACCTGTCTCACGTTGAGAGAGAGTCGAGGTGACAATGACAGCAATACCGGTAGAATGCACATGTTGACAACAGCACAAATGGCAAATAGCAGAGAATATGCCTGAAGCCATCGTCCCTGGACTCTAAGCGCCCCTGCCCTGCAAGAAGCCCTATACAACTGTAGGCACGTTCCTTGACAAATGGGAGATTCAAGCACCAAGTTCATTAAGGGACCCCAGTATAGAACATAAGGACCCTAGTATCGGGATCGCTGAACATGATGCGAACCTCAATCGACCCAGTAGAGAGCCCGCCCACAGCTGGCAGATGTGTGATGGGCCTCGTCGGCGATTGCTTCGAAAAGAGCCTGAGGGAAGCTACTGACTATAACGGTTTAAGGTTTAGGGTTTCGGCTCTCACACTCGGACAACCCAGGCGAGGTAAATGACGGGCGAGCTTCAAAGTGAAACAGCTGCACATACTGGCGAAACAAACACAAGGTCCCCTAGCATGAAGAAACCAGGGTAGGGGTATAGAGGCGATCCTACGATTCTACCGTGCTCCTGAAAAGCTTTTGCCTGCCACTTAGCAAGGACGAGCTCAAATTTAGGGCTTAGGGTGTTGGGTCTATTTTCGGATCCGGGTTCTTGGGTTAGTCGCAGTTCCACTTGGTAAGAGACCTAGCCGCTAGGACCTAGCCTCGACGTGACAGTTAAACTCAAAACCCCACCTTAATTCAGGATCTTTGTATGGGTTCCTATTCTCTGAAACTGAAAATGCCATATTGCTTTCATGATGGGAAGGAAGACGACGAGTCCTAGAATCATTGCTGTAATGATTGTGTGTGTGTGTGTGTGAGGTCATACACGTTTGACTTTTGTGCCTAGGTCCTACCTGCGGCAATCTATGGCAAAACTACTTAAGTTTGGGACCTGCTCCATGTGCCGAAGCTTTGCTTGACCCTGGCCTGAAAGTTGTTGCCGCTTGCCTGTCAAAATCAAGCCCTCCCAGGTCAACGCCGCGCCTCGCACGTCGACTCCATTGTGGAGAAAGACCAGGCCGTGCTTGAGAAGTCCGAGCCCTCAAACTGGCCCATCCTGGCATTTAAGCCAAAACTAGAGGGCAGGCAGGCACAGCAAGCAAGAAGAACATGGCCCTAGCATCGCGTCTTCTGAAGCTGTTGGAAAGACCGTAATGAGTACCGAGGCTGTAGCAAGCCAACCAGGGACAACACCACGACACACGTGTGAAAAGAAGGATGGGTTAGATATTGACACAGTGGCGGAGTTACAATTATATGCCGCGATGCATCACGACTGAAGCAACTGCTGTTGGCGCCCCAACAACTAGCATCGCCTCCTCAAACTAAGAGAAAGAGGTAGCAGCAGCAACCTGCAACAACACCAACAACTACGACAGCCATCAGTCGAGCCAAAAGACATGAACATTGAATTTAATTGTGATCGCGGGCATCGCCTAGTTCAACGGCCCAACGCTGGCAAGCGAGTCGGCACCACTGTGTACCCGCATGATGCGCAGCGGAGTGCATCAGCAGCACGCTTCGGAACTGTACGTTCGCAAGTCTCTGCACTGCATTCGCCAAATCCTGGGCGTTGGACTCGTGAACCCGCTGCAGTGACAAAGACGCCGTCGCACTCATTGTCGGTACATCGATGTGGCTTGTCTTGCATAGCTCCCGAGAAACATTGGCAAAGTCCTGTGGCACAGAATGCGGAATTCTCAGCCCACCAGCCTGCATGGTTGCACGCAACAGTTGCTCATTGACAAAAGCCAGCTTGGCGCACGCCCGCACGCTGTTTGCTAGCTCTTGGCAGTTGGGATCAAAAACATTTTTGATCGCATGCTCGGCTGGAGCCTCGAGAAAAGATCGCGCAATGACAGCTGAGGATCCAAACGACCAAAACATGTGTGCTGAGTGCTGCGAATTGAGAGCTGCGAGCTTCGGCATTGCTGCGCCAACGATCGTGTGCATGGCAGGCACGCTCGCAATCAGTAGCATCCTGAACCTCCGGCCAGTGTTGGCCAAATTCTGCGGAGGGAAGCTGTGAAAATTCACAGCTGCGGAGGTAGCTGGCACCGAAGAAAACGAATCGTGAAAGGACACAGGCTTGCCAAAGGCCCGCGCACTGTTGCCAGCATCTTGCGGTTTGGGTGAGGGTATGCAGCGAGCGGCGACAGATGCGGCGACTTCCAACGTAGGCACATGTCAATGCACGGGGTTGGCCATCTCCCACACCCTGTTGGACGAATCCTGCGGCTGGAGCTCCAGACCGTGTGAGACTGCCTGCATACCGGGTGCCTTCGACAATGGCTGCTCAGCAGCCACCAGTGTCCCGAACCTCCATGCGGTGTTTGAGATGTTCTGTGGCGTGGACGTGTGAGAAATGGTACATGCTGCCCTGGCCACCGCCTCCGTCAGAGGACGATCCACTGCCATGCTGCTGGTAAGCGCTCAGACCAAGTTTGCCAAGCCCCGGGCGGGGAAGTCGCGGATCTGGCGGACGGCTGTGCAGCCGGCCGCGCTCGTCGGCGGAAGGCCAACGCGACCCAGGTTGCCGAAGGTCCGGCCAGCGTTTGCCAAATTTTGTGGTGAGGGCTAAGACAGGTCACGAAGTGCCGACTCGGCAATGGCCCCGAAGAAGGTCGAATCGAAGGATAAGACTGTGCAAAGAGCCTGCACCAAGTTGGCCAAGCTCTGTGGCTCCATCTTCGGAATTTGCAGCGAACGCCTTGCAGCTGCCTTCATCGTGACATGGTCTTGAGTTCCCGGGGTAGCCCAGGCTTAAGCCAGGTTTGAGAGGCCCTGCATCGTTTGCTCGTTGATCTTTTCAAGGGCTTCGGCTGCTATGCCTCGCATCAGCAGTGCACCCTGAACGCCCGATTTGGTCAAGGATCGGGCAAGGCTGGCAAGGCACTGTGCATGAGACTGGCTCAGTTTCGCCTGGCACTCTCTGGTAGCAGCTTTCAAGACCCGAGCATTCGCCTCTGCGCCGCCTGCGGCTGCCCGCTCTGAGTTTGAACGAGCCCGTGACCGTAGAATTGCATCCTCCAAGGCCTTTGGGAAACCTCTCACGCTCCTCGCCCTTGGCACCGTGCTTCTTCATTCCACATCTCCTGCCCGAGGTACGAGGGCCGGTACAACGAAGGTTTAAGTCTGGAGGCACAACAAGCCGTAAACTGTAATTGCAAGCAGTAGTACTCAGAGCCGCACTGGTGCGACTGCGACGAACATCCGGCCCCTGAACAAATGATCTCCACACGCATCGATGCCATCTTCAAACACACTCCACCAGATGGCCTCATCATGCTGACCCCCTGCTGCCATCCATCTTGCTGGCTACCCTCTTCAGCACGAGCCTCTGCAGCTGTCTGGACTTAATGTGAAATTCCTTGCTCTCCAAACTCGAGCATGTATGGATATCTCCGGGGCATGGGCTGCGGGGATAGAAAGCTAGCAGGTGTCATCGCTTGTCTTTGCTCGTTCCATATGCTACAGCTTGCTGCGGCAAGGAGCTCCAGCACAATTCAAGACACGAACGGAAAACGTGGAGGGCATGTTGGATGCCATGATCTGGCAACTCAGACTCACCTTTCTTGCTCTGCAAGTCGTGGTGAGGCGGGTTCAAATGGTTCAAAACCGAAGGCTTCAAATTTAAGGTCTGGAGGCAGTCCTGAAGGTTAAAAGAGGCAGATATGTGGCAGCGCACGTGGCTGCGCCATGCTCCGCCACATCCAGCTTTGGAAAGGCTCGGGCTCACTTCTTGTAGATCGGCGCCAGGGCCTGCCGGAGCGACACCAAGACTTTCTCGACATATGCCGAGCCGAACCAGGCCCCAAGTGCTCCCCAAGTCACCCCAGCCAGCTGGGCGCCGGCCTCAATTGCCTTGTCCAAGGTGTCAACGGGGCCAAGCTCCGAAGACTGCTTGGCCTTCATGGCTGCGACCTTTGCAAGCGGGTCGTGCTGAGAAACATGCGATGACGTGCAGCTTCAAATGGGTCCTGGCTGTAGCCTACAGACCGTATGTAATACGGCTTCCAGTACACTGCAAGGCAATCCATGGTGCAAGTCGTTGAGGTGTATATGGCAACAGCAGGACGGACAGGGGGACAGGGAAGCCTACACAAGCTCAGAAGAGCCTTACACCCCTAGGCCGGCCCTAGGCCATGAATCCCGGCTCATGGTGCAAGGTTTCAGGTTGCAACACTCGCACGTCGCACGAGCAAAAAACAGATTTCGGGCCCCGACCATAACATCATGGTGAAGCGCAAGTCGCTTGAGATAGTCGTCTTCGCTGAGGTCTGCCTTCTTAACCTGTTCAGCCCGGCAACTGCTGGGAAACCTCACACCGTTCAGCGGGTTCGGTTCTGGGGACCCTGCCTTCTGTGCAAGGAAGTAGTCGGCCTGTCGCGCACTTTGTATTACAAGCCTTTGACGCGAAGCATCGCAAACTCACAGGCGGCCGTGTTGCTGCCCAGCTACTGTGGTTGTCATGATCTTCTGGGCGTGATCCTCCTTCGTAACAATCCAGCGCACCATCCTGCACAGCGCCCCATTGATGCGTGCCTGCTGCTTCATACCTATGAGGGGCCACTTTCTTCGGAAGATGCTGTGGACTAAGGCAACTTTCATTTAGTCATCACCATCATAAGGACCCAGGTTTGCAGTTACCAAGAGGCACTGCACAGCGCACTGTCGCACGGAAATTTGAGGTGCAGGCTGGTGCACGTCCTGCAAGCCGCCTGCCTGACACTTTCTCAAGCACAGAATTGATCCCATGGTCTCATGGTGCTTCTGCGTGGGGAGTCCCATTGAGTAAATGATCTCATCATCTCATCTGCCCTTCGAAAAAAGGGGCTTGCCTTGTGGAGCTCCTGGGCTTGCACCACGGCCTTGCGGATCGTGGAAGCATCCTCGCAGGATATCGCACACAAAGACCACCAGGCGCAGGCGGTGCACGGTCAGGTAGAGGACTTCAAGGACAGGCAGGACTGATAAGATACGTTTAGGGTCACAGGATGTAGCCCATGGTATAACCCCAATCAAGCCATGCTGCTGCCCAATATAACCCCAATCATATGCGAAAATCGATGACACCAACTTCTTTATGCATAAACGCTCCCCGCCTCCATCATTGCCTGCACACGGAGCTCGTCCGTGAAAATTCCACACGGCACCTGTTCAAACACGGTCGGGCTTCGGTTCGATTTATCAAGCCATAACCTGTAAAGCTTGTCTCTTGTGCTTACGTTTGTGATTTTGCCTTTCTAGTATTT